CCCCAAAACCCCAAAACCCCAAAACCCCAAAACCCCAAAACCCCAAATCAGGCGGTTATTAATATCATAGAAATATTTCCTCATAAAGTTATAAGCAACGTGGCTTATTAGTGTCCCTGCTAGGAGGAGTATCCATCCTGATTGTGCTAATTGACAGTGACTCATCATGCTTCATCCTACAGTGTATGGTCAAGCTTAATCCACTTGGGAAAATTCTGTGGGATACTTACTTGTGATATTCAAGCCTATAGAATCCAGAATTAGCTAAGGGGTTTAGTCATGAAGAGTTTACCTTTTCCTGCCAAATGCTCGAATTTTTTCCATTTTATCAATTTGTTCCTGAAATCTGTTGATTTCTTCTTCGATTCTTTTGAACTAGGGATGTTAGGAAGCACAAACCTTGTCCCATTTGAGACTTTGAGAGTCAGGAATCACAGCTGGGATATTGTCTTTATAAGCCTTCTGAGGCCTCTGATGGTCAAGGTCCTTTGAGTACAGGTCGAGGTAAACCGTGCTGTGAGGATTAGAATAGGCTTACTTGTTAGAAGAGGTGTTATAAGATTCTTTTGAGTCATCTGGACAATTCTGGTCACCCCTAGGTCTTAAAGACTCTTTTCTATAGATTTAGGGAGATAGTTATACTCTCTAAGGTCATTCCTGTCATAATTTTGTAAGAATTTGACCTTTTCTGGGTGAATATCTGTACTTGGTACGTATTTTTCCATAAAATTATCTAATTTTTCTGGCTTGATTTGGGCCTTGACAGGCTTGTTGCTTTGATAGTCCTCATAGACTCACTTAACTGGCATTCACCCTTGTGATAGGTAATTAGGAGCCTGATTGAAGTTATTCCTGGTCACATTTTTGCTGCTTTCATACCTTTTCCAGATATAGTTGTTGTCTTTAAGGAAGCTTCTCTTACTGTGGCTGGATTTGATCTTGCTCTCTCTTGCCTCAGTTTCCTCCTTTTTAAAAACATTTTGAAATTTGTTCAGAATTTTACTGAAATGCTCTGAATTCTTTGCAGTATCATTAGAATGCGGAGTATTGGTCTGACTCATAGTAGCTTTACAAGGATTTCTGGACTTATTTTTCAAGTAAAGAATTGTATGACTGCTTTCTTTGGCTAATATTGCTCTTAATTTTAGCATATTTGCCGATATTTGATGAGTTTACATTCTCCTTATCGTAACTATCAGGATACCCAATGCTTGATAAGGACACCTGACTGATTTGTGGCACAAGCATCGGCTTGGAAAAATACCTTGAAATATCCTGCTTAGCAGGGTTATGATTTGTAATCTGGTCGTTTTCAGAGAAAAGGATTGTACTTAAACTTGAGTTCTTCTCAAGTATCTCCCTGGATTTTGAGTGGAAGATACTCCTATCAACTCTTGTGCTTGGGTATCTAAAATTTGAAGAGAAAGACACTACTTCTTGACTTTAGTATTATTCCTGCTCTTTGTGGCCTTATTTCTTGGCTTTGCTGCTCTTCTTCAAACTAGACTTTTGAGGGTTGCGGAAATTTTTGGAATAAACACGGTAAGTTTTAGTGCTATATAATCGTTGCTGTACGGAATCTTTTGGCTTCGGCTCTCTACTTTTGTGGGTACAGCCTTTGACTCTGGTAGTCTTCCCAGAGGCAAGTCTTGAGGAGGGTCTAGATTGCTCGATATCTTTTTTCTTAGCGATAGAATCCTCCTTTGGACTTGAAACGCCTTCAGCTGCTTTAAATGAAGGACTGAAGAAGTAATTCACACAGGTATCATAGAGACTTTCTGTTGGAGATCCAATTTTCTTTAGAACCTTTGGTAGAAGAGAGAAATTCTTATGATAATGATATTGGCCCCTAGTTCTGCTATTTAGCCAGGAAGTCTATAATTTGTTCTGAATATTACCATGAATTTGCTTAATGATGTGGTTTCTGATTTCACGGATCAAGTCGCTATTACTGACTCCTTCGCATAATTTGTAGATCTAGGTTTGTCAAAATTGTTCCTTAAAAGCTTTATCAATACATAGATGTTGAAACTTTCTGAAAATTAGGCATGTAAACAGCTAGTGTCATCAATTAGCAGTCGATCAAGTCACGAAGTAATATTGGTGGTCTAGCTTGACTTAGCCAAGCACCCAACTCTAAGACTATATAATCTAGGTATGTGTACCTTTTAATCATCTCTATTAATGAATTAGCTTACCCAGTCTTTGAATATCTGGTGCTCGTTCTGACTGATTTTTGGTCCGTAGAGAGTCTGAATTTTAGGTATAAATCTGTTCAATTTTGGCGGCTAAATCAAGGAATGCAGTATCATGTGTGTTTGTGTAGTCAAAAGTGGAAAATGCCCTTTGGAGGATCTTTACGTTCATTTTGAGGTTGGGATTTCAATTATTTTAAATTTTTGTGGGGTTTTGGGGTTTTGGGGTTTTGGGGAGAT